GTGTGTGTGTGTGTGTGTGTGTGTGTGTGAAAGTAGTTTTCAAAAAACATACTGAATATACTATAATATGAAAATAAATTGTGTAGATGCTCTCTCAGCTTTCACACAATAATAATAATAATTTGGTGATTATGAAAGATTATTTATATAAAATAAGAGAGTCACACCCAAGGGTTGCTAACAGATCTTTCTTCAAACTTGATTTGCTCTGAGCTGCACAGGTGATGCTGGTGATGAAGATGAACTCAGCAGCCTTCACTTTCATCTTCCTCATCTTTCTTACAGATTAATCTTCACTTAATGAGATACAAGCCAGTCTGAATGAATGGAAGAATGAACAGAAAATGTGATATTACAGGATTTTATATTGTCATATTTCCTTTAAATTGTCTTGTATTGTGAAAAACGTCTAACTTCTGTTGTACTGATTTTTCAAAACAAGTGCCTTTCAAAAACTTGCTGTTCTCTGCYGTACATTGACTTTTTTTCTTGATTGCTGTAAACTTAATAGTTGTATTTGATCACCTGATACTTCTAGTGTTGTCATTTACACAGTGACTGTTAAATTCAACATTTTAAATGCTTTTTTCATAACATACAGAAAATAACACACATTTGCACTTTTTACTATAAACTTGTACATTTTAAAATTACAGTTATGATGTGCATGTGAACTACGAAACACAAAAAAGCTTTTGAGGATTTTTTTCTTAATCTTAAATAGAAATAAATAACTGAAATAACTTATAGTCACCATACTGGGACCTTCAGTTCTCAGTTACAGTTTTAAGTTTTTCTGGTTTCTCTTCAGAGACTTCCTCTTCCTCTGTTTGCCTCTGGGACAACAGCTGCAGCTGTGAAACTTGCTAGAAACTGAGAGAAATAAAAATAAACTCGCACATTTCGCTGCATGTATTTGCATGTTGGCAGGTGGTCAGACGCAAAGCGGCTCCTCTGCTTGTAAACCTTCATGCTCGAATAAAACATGTCTGTGACTTCAGGACACAGTACTTTGTGGAGTCTCTGAGGGATTAAACATTCAAATTGTGAGATTAGACAAGTGATGGTGAGAAAATATCGATGAGTAGATTTGCACATTGACTAAAAATAGTTTTTTTACATTATTTCGTAATGCTTCATATAGTAAATAATGACTTGTATTCTCAAACAGGCATGTTTCTATTGAGAAAACAGAACAACAATCAGTACAAAATCCTGACAAAACCTGCAGCTGCTCACTGAAAGACTTTGACACATGATCTTGACTTTATTGATCTCGTACTTTTTAAACAATGAGGAGACCGTGTATTCTCTGTGAGATATTTTAGAGGCCTTCTTATACATTTTTCTTCCTTGAGATTCTTTAACTTCATATATGCTTCACTCATGAAGCATGACCAGAGTGTTTTGCACTTCACCACATTAGTTACTGAGATAGACACCATTTCCCATGACCAACCAGCTGGTGATTTAAATGTATCGCTCAAAGYTTAAGCTCATTAGCGTTTTGATATTCAAATTCACATTTTCATTTGTGGTCTAAAAAGGTCAGAATCTACAATCATTGTATGATAATTTATACACAAAGTGAAGTACAAATGCACTGTAAGCAGTTAAAGCAAAAAAAAAAGAAAGAAAAATAAACTGAATTGCAGACATTTTTATGAACAAACATCCTGATACATCCCAATAAATTAGGTGRACAAAAAGATCCTCTGAAGGAGTGTTCTTTGTTAAAAAAAAGGTTGGGTCTCTCCTCCGAGAGACTTCTTCAGTCTCAGGGCTCACAGGTAAGCTCAGACTTATAAGTAGTGTCTCCACATGGTGAACAAACAGGTTTAATGATGACAATTAAAATTGTTTGTTCACATACAAAAGAGGACCATCAGCCTAAAGGTCGTTAGTGCCCTGAGCCATACTCACAATAACAGCATTGTAAGAGGGGGACAACWGGACACGAAGGCCTCCACCCTTGTTTATGGACAAAAGGTTTTGCTTCACAAAGATGTCATCCTTTACTCCTCGTCATGTTCCTCTCCATCAAAGATGAAAACATCTTCATCCCTGAAAGAGTGACCTCTGATCTGTAGATAGATGTAAACTRCAGAATCATGGCCTGATGATGTTGCTCCTCTGTGTTGGATCATTCTTTTGAACAATGGCTACTTTGTTTCTCTGATGTATAAYTGATCACAGTCCTCCTGGCACTTAACAGCGTACACAATATTACTCTGTTTTTGCATGKGGACTGGATATTTGGGGTGAACCAGTYTTTGCCGTWRAGTGTTTTGGGGTTTGAAAGCCAAAATAAGTCTTTTGGAGAAGAGACAAAACATTTTTAACAAAGAAAATCTTGTCCAGAGGAACTACTCAAATGTTTTTTACATTTATGTACAAATGTTATCTGCTGCAGAGCATCATCGTCATTCTTCTTTCTGTTTTATTTTGGCTCACATTTTACTGACTAATGATTAATCAGCAYACAATCGCTGTAGAAGTAGATTGGCTGAATTATAAATTTATAATTTCAGCATTATTTCCACCCCCCACACACAAAACAATGAAGTAATTAATATACAGGAGAAGATGTAATATTATATGTTAGGAAGTGTAAGAAAATTCATGTTCAATAAACTGAAGTCGATATTAAAAACACCATTGTTAAATAAATTGATTTGTAGAAGGAATTAAAC